CTGACTGCACACACATACTTCTCCTCCTAGATTCCAGAAGCTGCTTGACACCATTTACTTTGCAAACTTATCTCAATTAGTTCACTCTTCGACCAGAAACGATAGTGGTTTAGATTTAATTTTTACTAATGGCACCTTCCCTTTATCTATGGATTTCTATCATGACATTTTTGCAAGTGATTATGCATTAATCCATTGTCGCCTTCCAGTTGCCTTTCCTCAAAGTCAACATTACAACGTAGTATTTTTGACTTTGCTAATGTTAACAAGGAATTAGTAAATAACTTAACATGAACTCTTGATGGGCACAGTACTTTTTTCAAATAATGATCTAAATTATTTAAACAATTTATAACAATGCGTAACAGAAGGTCTCGTTGACGTTATTCCTCGGAAGATGTTCAAATCAAGTGCTAATTCCACCGCTATCCCACACTTTCTTAAAAACAGACTTAAAAAGTTACGGAAGCAGTTAAAAATATCCTTCTGTGAGCTTATTATCAGTTCATCTAAGAATCGTTGAAATATTTAAATTAGCTTCGAAACTGAGGCTAGAGCGAGATAAGCGTAGAGAGTCTTTAACTATTAATGACATGAATGCTTCTAAGTCAGTTGCTCAGATCTTCCGTCAAAGATCATCAGCTAAGTTCCACCAAGTCATTCCGCCTTTGCTTAGTACTAGCGATGCCTTCATTACAGAGGAGTCAGGCAAAGCAGAAATTTTAAGTTCGTTCTTTGCCAAAAATTCCACCATTGAAATTGACCCATTTCCTTTAATTCCTCCGTTGTCTGATGCTCCTATTAGCATCATTAATTTTCCTTCTGAATATATTCAAAAACCGATAAGCCGTCTTCCTAAATCTCAGTCAGTAGGTACGGACAATATCCAAAACTCTTTTATAAAACAGCTAAGAGATTTTCCTCCTCTGCTTAGCAAAATCTTTTCAGTATTTCTCGAAAATGGCTTCTTCCTTGACTATTGGAAAACTTCTATTATTATTCCAATATTTAAGTCTGGCTGTCGTTCTGACATACAGAACTACCGAGGTGTTCATAAAACACCCTCTCTCGCCAAAATCTTTGAAAAAATTATCGCCGTAAAAATTGCCGACTTTTGCATAGCCAATCAAGTTATTAGTCCTTCCCAGCATGGTTTTTTACCAGATCGCTCTTGTGAAACATGTCATCTGTCGTTTCTCAATCTACTTACCTCTCTTCGTACTGACAATCTATCTGCTGTCGTTATTTATTTTGATCTTAGTAAAGCCTTTGAAAAAGTACCACATAAAAGACTCTTGGTTAAATTGGAAGCTATGAGAATTCGCAGTCCCCTTATAGACTTTCTCAGGTCATACTTGTCTAATCGTAAACAAAAGGTTTTGGTGGGATCTACACTTTTCAGTGAAAGCCCTATTGTAAGTGGTGTCTTACAAGGTACTGTTTTAGGTCCTCTTTTGTTCTTGCTTTACATAAATGATAGTTCGGCAGCAGTTAAACATTCTCAACCATTTATTTATGCCGCTGATTTCAAATGTGTATGTTCTTTCAAAAAATCTACGATCCTTCATTGGCTGGAGCAAATCCATGCTGACTTGCTTGCTCTCTCGGCTTGGAGCTCAAAATGGCTAATGGAATTCTCTCCGTCTAAATGTCGCTATATGTGTTTGGACCTGACAGACGACCCCAACCTGTGGTCTTTCAAGGCACACCTATGACTGAATGTACCACCATCAAGGATTTAGGCTTAAGCTACACTGGTAATCTTGATCTCGCGCCACATGCTGACAGAATTACAGCCAAAGCTGCCCAGATTTGTGGCTTTATTTCTTACGATTGCTATCTTACTGAAATTAAATTAAGGCTCTATCGTATGTTTGTACTTCCCATTCTCGAGTATTGTTGCCCATTCTTTGGCTTGATGAATGAAGCCAGTCGTTTGAAAATTGAAAATGTTCAATGACGTTTTTCTAAAAAAACTTTTAGATAAGGAACATCCTAATATCTCCTGCTCAGATAGATGCCAGCTAATTAACCTAAAATGTTTATGTGTTCGAAGACTAGAAGCGGGCTTCTGTCTCCTCTTTCGCATTAATCATAGTTCAAATTTTCCTCGGATTTCGGCACTCACCCCTGGTAGTCGCCCATACAATCTTCGCAACTCGTCCTTGATTATACCTCCTCCAGTGTCATCCACCTCTAAGCGCTTCCTTTTTTCGGTTCCAGATGTACTTTCCTCTGGAATAACCTTCCAATAAATATAAGGTCTTCAGAGAAGTCGAGCTCACCCCCTGTATTTCCTTCTCATTTTGTCCCACCATTACGGGCGTGATCGAACTATCTCAGCCCAGAACATCCTCTCTGTACACCACACATTTTTACGTTGCAAAGAGGGTACTCAAAGGCTTAAACCTATTTCCCTCAATAAACTGAACTGAAATGAACCTTTATGAGAAGGCAACGCCTTTATCTGAATACTGACTCGATTAAACTTTTATTTTCCTCATCCTTCCCAGGCAAATTTTTCTATGACACTGAGAAAGGGCCGCCGGGAATTTAGTATGCCGCCATTAAATTTCCGTATCTGTTCACATTTCCTTCCTTTGTGAGTAGTCTCACTTCCTAAGATCCCTCACCAGAAATGTTAATTTTTACAATTTTTCAGTTCATGCATCGTGTCCTTACAGAATGCGCTCCATCGACGCTCTTGGCGAAGCCTTCTATATTCGCCATATACTAGTAGTCTGGTTGCATCTCCCTTGCCCCATCCCCGGATGGACTCGGTTGAATGTAACCGACCGTATCTGGGTTCCTATCGGCTCTAGGCTGGTTTTTAATCTTCGCCACTTATTTGCCTTATTCAAGGCCACATACAGGCCAGTCCTGACCGACCCGCCTGCTCACCCCTTTATGAAATCCGTTATACAATGCCATTTACAGCTGACATTTATTTCGGCCTTGTTGATGTCCGACCACAATCCATTCTTTACCGCCACATGTAGGCCAGTCCTTCCCGCATTTTTCTGATTCTGCTTTTCGAGGTTTTTTTCTCCTGTAAAATTAATCCAATCATTTTTAAATTTTCAAATGGAGTTTTTTTACCCCTTGCTTATCATTTTCCTTAACGGACTTCTAATCTCAAAAACCATGTATTGCACTTTGTACAGATTTTGCCTATCTCGTCTAAAATTCGCAGGTGAATTTATTTTCACTTGCTTTGATGGGACCCTGACGGGTCTTTAAAAAAATAATTAAATTAAATTAAATTATATTAGATGCAATTCTCGTTGTCTTTGCATTTGTGTTCGACAGACCGAAACATTCTAATGAACAACAACAGCGGCAACCTCTCTCTTGCCCCTCCCTCTCCCCTCCGTCCCATCCCACAGGCCGCTAGGGCGAGACAGATCATTCTGGCAGCCTGGAGTGTTCGTTTCCTCTTAGTCAATCCGAGGAGCAGCCGATCGGAATAGAGGACCGCGCTTGTCGCGTGAGAAGTGGGCTACAAGATGGACATCGTTGCTCTTAGCTAGACCCGGTTCTCCGGACAGGGCCAACTAGAGGAGGAAGGCGCCGATTACACTTTATTCTGGAGCGGCAGCCCAAAGGCAGAAAGATCTGACGCTGGCGCCGCCGTTGCCACCCTGAACGACATCGTGTCCCGTCTGCCGCAGGGCCTCAATGGCCAACTCATGAGCTTGCGTCTGCTGCTTTGTAGATCCCAGTGCGCTACCATTACCAGCACCGAAACCATACCAATGACCGACTCAGACGAGACGAAGACCAAAGTCTAAGAAGGCCTGCACGCCCCGTTGGCGACTGTGCCGAAGGCGGATAAGCTCGTTGTCCTTGAGGACTTCAATGCCAGGGGGACAGACCACGTTGCCCCGAGCTGAGTGCTGGGTCCTTACGGAATTGACGGCTGCAACGACAATAATCTTCTCCCTCTACGAGCCTGCACAGAACACCGCCTCCTGCTGACCTACACATTGTTGCGCCTGCCGATGCTGAAGAACGTCATCTGGATGCACCCGGTCGCGGCGCAGACAGTCGCTGGACAATGTTCTTGTCCGGAGGCGCGGCCTACGAGACATGCCTGTAACCAAGGCGATATGCGACACCGATGGCTAAACGGATCACTACTTAGTCCCCTCCAAGATTAGACTTCGTCTGCAACCCCGCCGTTTACGTTGCAGCAATTAGTAGGTTCCGAATTTGGAAGAGATGCCAGCCTCGGGCGACAACGCCACCGTGAAAACTCTGTGATATCAACTGCGGAAAGCTATCCACCGACTGTTCTGGACGCCCTCGGTCGCGCACGTCGCCAACACCAGGGCTGGTTCGACGACAACTTCGTCGAAATCAGCAACCTGCTTGCTGAAAAGAACAGGCTGCATAGAGTCTACACGGGCCGCCCATCCACAGCAAACAAAGCGGCCTTCTACGAGCGTCGCCGCCTTGCGTAGTGGTGATTGCGAGAAGTGCAAGACGCCTGGGTGACTTGCAAGGTCGGGAATATGCTGAGATATTTTGGCCGTAACGAGACAAATGACTTCTTTGCTGTGATCAGGGCGGTCTATGGCTTCCTAATGAAAGAAACCGTGCCGCTTCCCAACTACGATGGATCAACCCTCCTGATGGAAATTTCGCAGATCCTGAGACGCTGTGCTGAGCACTTCAGAGGCGCCCATAACTGTCCCTCCACAATCCCGACGCCGCCATCGACAGACTCCCACAAGTCAAAACGAATGCCGCCCTATCTTCCGGAATCCGTTCGAGCCATGCACCAAATCGTCAGCTGGAAGTACAGGGATTCAACGCGATTCCCGTCGAAGTTAACAAGCACGGCCGCCCCTTCCCCCCCTCATCAAATCCCAACGCTAACCCAGGACATTTGGCTCTGAGGACACGGTTAGCAGGATTTCAAGGATACGACAGTCCTCCATCTACATAATCGGAAAGGGAACCGTCAACTCTGCGATAAACAAAGAGAAAACTTGCTGCTAAACATCTCCGGGAAGATCTTCACGCGCATCTTCCTCAGTCGTCTCAGCGGCGATCTTGAGCAGGAAATTCTGCCAGAAAGTCAGTGTGGATCCCGACGCCACCGTAAAACCCCTGGCATGATCATTGTTGTCCACCAGCTGCAAGAAAAGTGCCAGGAAATGAAGACACAGCTCAACACTAATACCGTGGACTTGATGAAAGCCTTCGATATGGCGAATCACAAAGGTTTGGGCAAAATCATGCAGAAATTCGGTTGTCATGATCGATTCAGACATGTGATGCATCAGATCCACGACGGAATGATGGCGAGCGTCACGGGCAACAGGGCCGTCTACGAAGCATTTTCAGTAGCCAAGTGAATGAAGCAGAGTTGCGTACTCTCCCCAACCCTCTTTAGTCTCATGTTCTTCATCATGTTGATGGGTGCATACCGTGATAAGCGCCCCAGGATTTGCATCGTCTACAGGAATGCCCGCCATCTTCTTAATAGCCGGCCCTTACAAGTCCAGACGCGTCCCTCCATGGCCATTGTCCACGACCTCCTCTTCGCCGGCGACTGTGCATTCAAATCCGAGATAGAAGTTGACATGCGACGGGGCATGACACTCCTTGCCTCCGGCTGCTCTGACCATCAACACGGGCAAAACGGTGGTCATGTGTCGACCGCCTCACAATGCTGAATGTAATTCTACTCGTGTCTACGCAAACAACACCGAACTAAAGACCGTAGACGACTTTGCCTACTTAGGCTGCGCAGTCACTTTGCACAAAAATCGACGAAGTGATTCACCGGATCTCCAAAACCAGTCAAACCTCCGGTCCGTATGCTATAGCCAGGGTCTCCACCCTTACACTAAACTAGGGAAGTACAAGGTTGTTACTTTGACGACGCTGCTGTATGGCGCGGAGACACAATACTAGTAATGGTTTTATATTTAGGAGCCCAGAGGACACAATCCAAACAAGGTTGACATTGACTCAGTTGGGAAAATAAGGCAATGTGAGTGGCCGGATAAACATCAAAACTTAGCAAATGTGCCACGTCAAGTAGACAGCGTCCTTCACGTCCGCCGACGATTTTCCATCACCCACGATATTTCTGATAATAATATGCACATATACCAGACAAAAAGCCGTTAGAAAAACAGCGCTCTATGATGGAAGCAGTGAAAAACTCCTAAAAATTAAGTGACAGAGGTTTCAGGGGTGCAGCGTACGCTGCTCGGGTTGTCAGGACACTATGTCACATGCGCATGACAAGCGAACGGTCAAGATCATGTACCCATGTTTACACCTTCTTTGTGCTAATTGGCCACCCTTCAGCCTATGATATTCCCTCTGCCATATACCCAGCTGTTTCTACAAGCCCCCCAACTTGTGCTGTCCTTCGTACTCAGAACAGGTTCTGTTTACAACTAACCTTCTGTTTTGTCTTTGTAGCAAGGGGATCCTCAATTTCAAAAAAAATACTCAGGAAAACTGAATTACTTCCACACATTTGTCTCAGTTGGATACTAAAGCTGAGGCGGTAGGACAGGATCTCGAACACAGGAGTTCAGGAACGGAATGGAATCCTCAGCACCCACGTCATGCTGAGGTTGTACAAAGTCTCTTCAACAAATTCGACGAACTAAGAGATTTAGTTGATGAAATTAAGCCGAACATTGTGGCTTTCACCGAAACGTTGCCTACTGAAGATATCGCAAATTCAGAAATATTACTTAGGGCATATCAGCAATTCAGAAGAGACAAACTATGACTCCTTCTCGGTTAAGCCTATGTCACCTGCAAGCTGGCCGCTGTGGCTGCTACACATTGTCTGGTAAGAGATGTGGAGCTATTAAGCATTACCATATCTGCTAAGTATGTCCGACCAATGACGCTTTCGGTGGTGTACCGTTCACCTCACCATAATTCTGACCAAGAAACCATGCTAATAACTGAACTGTGCAAAGTTAGTGAGAAGAAGAATGTCCTTGTCGTTGGTGATTTCAGTGCCTCTCACATTGATTGGCAAACGTGGACTGCGCAAGGGCTACAAAACACCTTTTATCGCAAACTACTACAATGGCCAACGGACAAACTTCTCTGCCAGAATGTTACCATTGCAACGCGCGCCATGGAAGGGCAGCTTTCGAACTGCCCTGATCTTATTTTTGTCCAAGAGGAGGGAAACATGTTAGACCTGCAGGACCGACCGCCATTAGGGTCAAGCGACCACATCACGCTCTACTTCGAGCACTCACTGTTTCCAAACCCGCAAAACCCGGCAGGTGGGAAAGAAGCATTTGGAAGGCGAGCGTTCTCTCACGAGTAAAGAAGCGGCTGCGGTATTATGGGAGCCTGAACTGCTTGGTGGAGCAGAGGACAATTAGAATATTTTCAGTTCCTTACTAAAAGAGGTTGTTCATTCCAGTCGTCCTCTAAGAAGATGGACAATTACAAACCGTCCAAAGTGGGGAAACTTGAGCTTAAAGGCCTCTTTCAGAAAAAAGAATCGTCTGTGGAGGCATTACATATTAACTGACTCCGAAGAACGCTGGCAGGAATATATGCGGCAACGCAAAGTTTGTAAAAGTAAGGCCTCAACCAGTGAAGGAAGGTCAAATTGAACATACTTCAAAATTCGTTGAAGCAACCGAAAATTCTATATGGCTATATACGGAGTATTAAAAGAGCTCAGGAGCTGAGCTCTTCTCCTTGGTCGGCAGATGGGAAAGTGGAAACTGTTGACCAGGTTAAAGCGTCCCTCCTTTCTAATTTCTCTCAGTCCGCCTTCATCCGAGAACGTAATCCTGTTTTTTCGCATCCGTCCGTTCGCCAATCAACCTCTCCTCCTAATCCCCTTCCTCCTCCCTCTACCTCTCCTCTTCCTACCCTCTCCCTACCTTCCTTAGCCGAGGAACAACTCTTTTCATTAATCATAGTGGGACCAGGTTAAAGCATCCATTCTTTCTAATTTCTTCCAGTCCATCTTCACACGAGAGCCAAGTTATAAATTTGCCCATCCATCCTTTCACCAACCAACGTCTCCTCCTACCCTCCTTCCCCCTATTACTCGCCCTACCCTCCTTAATCTAGGAGCCACTCTCTTCATCGACCATAGTTAAGGCCGAGCTTCTCCTACTGAAACCTGCCAAATCACCTGATCCAAATAGGATTCCCGCACTAGCACTTCGTGAACATGCTAATAAACTGCCCGAACCACGGTTTGAAATATTTCAAAAGTCATTCGAAGAAGGCAAACTTCCGGAAGAATGGAAATGCACACTCGTCTTTTCGATCCATGAAGGAGGTTCAAGACTTGACCGCTGAAATTATCGCCCCGTCCGTCTTACTTGCATTGCGTGTAAAATAATGAAACTCATAATCAAAAGACATTTGATGCAACACCTGTTGTGTGATGCCCAACATAAATTTCGTCAAGGACGCTCCTGCCTAACGGGTGCTCTATACTCACACGAGAAATAGACAAGGACTACAGATAAGGGTTATCCAGTGAATGCCATATATTTTGACTATAAGAAGGTCTTTGATAGTGTATTACACAGGCTTCTTTTACGGAAGATCTGAGGTGTAGGAATTCAAGGAAGACTCTTTAAATGGATAGGAAGTTTTCTGTTCTCCAGAATACAAAGAGTCGTTATTGGTATCTCTAGCTCGGAATGGGCAAAGGGGAAAAGTGATGTCCCACGGGGTCCTGTCTTAGATAGATAGATAGATAGATAGATAATTTCTATTAAAGACCCGTCGGGGTCCCATCAATCTTCTTGATTTATGTTAACGACTGCATCAGCGAACTGGATTTCGAGGCCCTCATGTTCGCGGACGACATAAAAACATGGAGCGAAGTCAAGTGCGATAATGACGCAAAGAAGTTGCAGCCGAACATCAAGAAACTGAGTTTCTGATCGAAAAGATGGCTTTTGAAGTTTGGCTTTTTCAAGTGCATGGTCTTGTACATAAGCACCGGCCGAAATGCCTCTCCTAAACATCAGTACTATATAAGCGGGACGGCGTTATAAACTGTAGAAGGACACAGAGATCTGGGTGCATGGACGACCACAAATCCAATGTCGTCAGAACACTGTAGGGAGATGGTCCAGAGGACAACTAGTACTTTGCACTGGATCACACGTGCATTTAAAACTTTTCCTCCCAAACTCTTCGAAAGAATTTCTGGCGTCTTTATAAGACCCCATCTGGAGTACAGAATACCGGCGGCTTCAGAATGGATGAGGAAGGGTATTGATTAACTGAAACAGGTGTAACGCAAAGCAACGAAGATGGTCGATGGTCTAAAGCATTTGTCTTACCAGGAGAGGCTGAATGTGCTTGGCTTGTTCCCTCTCTCTTATTGGCAGCTAAACTTCAGCCTATTCTGAACATTCCGGATTGTCCGTGACCAAGGTTGCTCACTAAGAACGGAGAACGTTTTTGAGTTTGCCCGTACCAACCAATCACGCGATCATCCTTACAAGGTCAAGAGTGAGCACACGCGGCTAGATAGTGGGAAGTTTTTGTTTGACCATGGAACTCGCTACCAAATGAGATCGTGACGGCCGCCACAATTCGCATGTTCAAAAGAAGACTTCTTCGCTTGATTTTCGAGGACTGTAATGCGAACCGACCACATTGTAAATGTCAGTAACTTTATTTTGAGGGCGAATCTGTGAAAGCATAGTACATAAATGGGGTCATCAAGGGCTCGGCCTCTAACCCTTCAAATGCATACGAGAGTTCGACCTTCGAGTTCGACGATGCTCCACACCAAGACGCAGCAAATACAGTGACTTGCGCGTGAATTAGTTTAAATTGGTATTGGACTTGCGCAGCATCTACCGCCCCCTCTTCTCCCATTCGCCATGCGAACCCGGTGCCAAAGGAGAGAGAAAGGGTGCCGTTGGCCACGTTAGAAGGAGCTGCTTCAGACTGGCTCTCAGCATCCCAGTCCGCCACTCCACACAAACACACAACTGGACGGACTGCGTGGTTTGATTTGGGGCGTCAATCAGCAGCCTTTCACGCCCATCGCCTGACGCGCCGTGCTAGTCTCAGGCTCAAGTCACACATGCAGCTGGGAAGCATCAGGGGAAGACATCAAGGTCAAGGCACGCAGCTTAATTTCAAAGATAAGTGAAGCTTTGCATTTATCTGCGTATTCTTAAGCAATTAATGCCTGTTTTTTATTTGAGTCCCTCTTAAAAGTCGCCCTTCAATATAAGGTAAATTTTTTCCCAGTTTTGTTTAACAGTCTGGCAAAATAGTATTTTGTAAAAAAAACCTTTGTAGTGACTCCTTTTCCTACTATCTCTTTCTAGTTTTCGTAGTTAAATAACAATAATACTTGCTATCCAGTGAGCCTTTCCGTACGTTGGCAACGTTTTGACCCTTCTTCTGTAACGAAAAATTAATCTTGTCTGTAGTGCCCCGCAGAGCACGTGCTAAATGGCGAAAGCTTGCGGCCTCCCCACCGTCTCTGGGTGCTAAAATCGTGACTGAAGACATTCCAGGTGTCAGCGTATGTTCTTTGCCGTCTGCAGATCTGATTTACTCACAAATCCCTTTATTACATGTAGAACCTCTTGACGCTTCAGTCGTCTAAAAATACGCCTCTGCTAGTCGTAGCAGGCCATCAGCCGGCGAAATAGTCGATCAGTTGATTTATGGCGACAGAAACAGCACTTCTGAAAAAGTAATTGAACAAGCTTTTAAACTTATTGGGGTAATAATTTCGGAAACTGAGGAAAGAATCAAACGCAAGCATAATTTCATACTGCGAAACATTCCAAGCCACTTATCTGCTACAGAGGGAGCGCATTTGTTCCTACAAAGTTGTGGCTTGATTTTCAGTGTCGCACAAGCTAAGGGACTTCGCTCGCTTAGCCGTAATGCACCGATACTAGTTACCCTATTCTCCATGATAGAATTCGATTTTATCTTGTTGAGTAGGGAGATAACTAGAGAATTCTGCCGTAAATGGCGCTGTTCCGTTTCGCCAGACCTCACACCCCTGCAGAGAAGACTGAATAAATTAAAATCGGCAAAAACCAACACCAAGATAATGACATCTACTGTCAGTCTGAATAAGTCGTCTACAACACCATCTGCAACATCTGCACATCACGGCATAGTCAATTCCGTAGGGAATTCGACCACTTTTAATGCTGAGCTCTTTAAACACAACAATACGCCTGGTATAAACACGCCTCTATCGACTTCCCCAGCAACCCCTAGTAAGCCTAAGCATGTGTCTAAGTCAAAGGCAAATCCAATTGCTGTCTCAGCCACTCGGACACCCGATAAATCCAGCATCATTATAAAATCTTTTCCTCGACAATCGGCTAAACAGTGCATCAAATACCCCGACTCAAAACGTAACGTGTTCGCAACTGTCCCCCAGCCCTCATATCGAGGCATTTAGGCCGAATATGCCGATTATTCAGCCGTTTAATAAAACTATTGCTCCAATGGAAACAATGCGTCCCCCACCCCCTAACACGTTTCCTCCACGACCGTTTTACCAATTTATTCCTCATGATAATGTCTATACTGAATCAGTTAACTCATTCGATCCTCAGTTTCGTTCCGGCGGGAATGTGTTGCGGTATCTGCCCCGCGGATTTTCAGCTGAAAATAAGTTAGCTAACAATGGTTACCAGTTCACCTGCCCGTCATTCCCTCCCCCAAGTCCTACCCCTTTTAATCCACGTCAGAATTTTTCAATGCCACAAAATTTTTTGCAGAACCGGATGGTTGCATCCAGGCCGTTTGCTCCGTGGGCAGCCCAGAACTTGACGATGTAGCCCACCTCCCTCAGAAACAAACAGCCTTTCCCTTCAAACTTTTTGTTTTAAATGCCAGATCCTTGCTTAATAAGATGCCTTTGCTTCAGACTCTGGTGTTCGTCCATTGTCCTGATATTGTTTTAGTAACTGAGACGTGGGCATCAGCCTCAGTAGCTGATTTCGAACTCTCGGTTCTAGGCTATAACTGCATTCGCAATGATCGTCAAGATAGCCGTGGTGGGGGCAGCTGCGTCTACGTGAAGCAAACACTAACATTTTTGCCGTTGGACCTCCCGCATTTTTCCGCAGTAGAAGGCAGCTGCTGGCTCCAGGTTGCACTAAAAAATAAGTTCTCCTTACTCGTTCGCTGCGTCTATCGTCCTCCCAACGCCAACGACAATTTCGATCGTTTACTCTCACAGGCATTTCATGCTGCGGCCGACTCAAGCTTTAAGTATTAATTGGTTGCGGGCAACTTTAATCTCCCTGAAGTCCGCTGGTCTCCGCCTTCAGGCCCAAGAAGGTTCGAAGACTTTCTTGAGGCTGTGGATGTTGGGATGTGGACTCAGGTTGTCGATTTTCCCACCCGAGGCTCAAGCATACTTGACCTTATTTTCTGTAGAGGCTGCATGCCATCGTCAGTGTCATCCCTAGGCCCACTCGGGGGCTCAGACCATGACATAGTTGTTTCAACGTCGGAATTCGAGGCTGACAAAACGTTGTCCCCAAAATATAACTTTTTCCGCGATTTCCGATCAACTCGCTCAACCGAATTATTAACACACCTTAATTCCTACGACTGGACTGATTTCTTCCTTAGTTCGGATGTAAATGTTTGCACTGCAAATCTGTACGAAATTTTGGATCCGCTTATTTCTCGTTTTGTCCCCCGTAAGAAAATTATTAATGTTGGGGATGAGGTTTTCCTACCCTTACCCTTTCGTCGCAGATTGTGCAGGCTTTATCCTCGTTTCCATCTTCAGAACGATGTTTCTGTTCTGCCCTTGATTTGTGATATTTTTGATTGAGCTATGAGATTGTCTGAAGAGAAACAGCTAGCCGAAGTAGTCCAGTTTACCGAAAACCATTCGTTAAATGTCTCGAAACTTTTCTCTAGAAAAATACGAACTCACAGAAAGACGCAGCATCCCATCCTCCGAGACGCTCTCGGAAATCCCATAGTTGATGCCCAGTTAACCGCGGATAGCTTCAATGATTTCCTGTCCAAAACGTTTATTAAAGGCTCGACCACTCCGCTTCCGACCATCCAGTCATTGACCGGGGCAGTTCTAGAAACTATAACTTTCACTCTGTGGGATATGACTGTTGCGATTCGGCGTTTTCGTTAATTTTATAGTCCAGGACCTGATGGTCTCCCAGTAAGCATTTTAAAAGCAGATGCAAATACGATTTTCCCATCCCTCATATGCAAGATTTTTAATCTCGCTCTTGCAAGTGAAACTTATTCTACCTTATGGAAGGAATCACACATTTTGACCATTCCTAAGCACGGCAAATCTACATCATTTGATGACTTTCGGCCAATAAACACTTGCTCTGCAGTGTCGATGATCTTAGAGACATTGATCAAAGATAAGATCATGTGTCACTTAATAGTAAATAATCTACTGAGTGCTGCTCAGCACGAATTCCTCAAAGCTCGATCTTTTGACAGCTGTCAACTCTCTTACTTTGACTATGCTCTCTAATCTAGTGACTATGGTTTTTATTTTTACACAATATATTTCGATTTCACTAAGGTTTTTGATCGTGTTGGCCATGCCATTCTTCTCCTGAAACTGTCGTCTTTCGGAATAGGTGGCAAACTTTTGAATTTTATATCCTCTTACCTGGACACTCGTACACAACGAGTTAAGATTTCCAATACCATCTCCAACCCCACACGTGTGAGGAGTGCAGTCATTCAGGGTAGTGTACTTGGCCCGCTTTTATTTTGCCTTTTCGTTAATGATGTACCCGATTTATTTCAGAATGGTAAGCCTTTCATGTATGCCGATGATCTTAAAGTTGCATATCGATATAAGCCGGCAGATCGTGACATAATGCTTGAGCTCCTAAAGAGCGATCTACAGGCTTTCCCCCAGTGGTGCCGCACATGGCGCCTTTCTCTTTCTTGGCATAAGTGCTCAGTCATGGTGGTTGGCGACGACCACCAACCTCAACTAAGTATTGAAGGTCACGCCATAAATGTGCCTGGCTTTATTAAGGATCTGGGCGTATCATACTCCAAGAGTCTCAGTCTCTCGGAGCACTGTGCCTTGACAGTCTCCAAAGCACGTAGAACGACCGGGTTTATCCTCCGAAACTTAAAAACTAGGGACATTAGAATGCGCCTTTTCAACTTGTACGTTAGACCTGGCCTGGAATACTGTTCGTTTTTATTTAGCCTCATGCGTGCTACTGAGCGGAAGAAAATAGAATCCGTTCAACAATTTTTTACCAAGAGAATTTTAGCCCCGGAACAACGACATTTGTCTTACCAAGAACGTTGCCGGTTTACGGGCCTTGATCCTTTATGGTTCCGTAGATTACAAAAGGGACTATTTTTGCTATTTAAACTCTTATATAATCACACATTTAACCCACCCACTTCTTTAAGACATCATATCCACCCACGACGTAACAGTCACCGTGAGGTCTTTTTATTTCTGCCTCTGGCACGTACTGTTAAATATCATCGGTTCTATTATGTAAATGCGATTGCTATTTGGAATAAACTACCCATGAGTGTGAAAAATCTGCAAAATTATCCTTTATTTAAGAGAACTATTACTCGATTTTTGCATTCAGACAAGCTCCCACAAATTTTGGGTGCTGAATCCACTGATCGACTCTACCGTAGCGATGGCGTTTGTGGTCTCTGAACACTATGGTCGGTCTCACCAGCTGTTCCTCGACGCCTCTACCTTGACTATCCCCAACTTCATGAAAGGAATTTGACGTCCGATAATCTCCGATACCGTGCCCCCCCCCTCCCTTCTTGACGGTCGAAAGTATACCACCAGCAGTTTTTTCTCCTGAACCCTCCAAATCATGAAATCCACCATCAACTATATTCTTATTCCCTTACCTCAGGAGTTTTTTTCACTGCTAGTCGGATTTGTGTTTAATCGCTTCCCTTGACAATGCCTGTAAACTGGCATAAGTTAAATTACTATTATTATTATCATGGAGACGAAACCGAGACTCAAACTTCCCACTTGCGTGGGAGTTGGTATTTGAATGCCAGCGGTGAGTGATGATGTTATGTGATTCAAGTGTTGGTGGAGGAAGATGTGGTGTAGCCGGCGGTTGCCTACCGCAAGTTTTCGTGGACTCGCGTGTGACCTAACAGGTTCATACGGTGCATAATTGTGCGAGTGAAATGTGTACAGCGGAGGCGCGTGCGGCGAGTGTAAGTTGGTGGTCCAGTCAATGATTCACGAGTCTCTATGCAATGGACTCGCAAGTGACCTACCAGCTCGATGTGTGAGGTGAAGGTGCGGTCGCAATTAGGACAGGTATAGACCATGTCCTCACCGCTGGTGTCCGCGGTGGTGGTGTTGGTGTTTGTTGGTGTTTTAGGATTGTGTGTAGTATTGGTGGGCATGGCAGACGCCATAGCGGCAGACGTTGAGGCGGTGGAGGAAAGAGAGGATGACAGTGATTGTAAAGGAGGGCTGCCAGAGTTAGTTGACGGCATAGGGAGCGAAGGAAAGGTGGACGGAGGGACGACGGTTGGTGCAGTGAGAGTGCGTCAGTTGGTCCGAAGGTGTTCACCAAGTCCATTTAGCGTCCCGAATGTCCGGTGACACCATGGACACTTTGGGGGCGGTTTTGGCGTTGACATTGCGAGGTAGGCGCATCTGAGGTTTGCGGGCTTCTTGTATGGCTTGCGCGGCGACGATGCGGTTTGCCTCGTCCTCACTGTCCTCCTCCAGGTCGGTCGGTCTTGAGCAAGGTTTTCCAGCTGGCCGAATTGATCTGCAGACGCTTCAGAGAGGTCTTCAAATTGCCCTTGTATCGACGAATTCAGCCTTCTTGGCGGCGGAAACTCGTAGGGAAATCTTTATAGGAGAGTCGTTTAGGCAGCCGCTCGTTGTCCATCCGCGAGGAGTGGCCGCTCCAACGCAGTTACAGTTGTCTCAGCATGGCGTAGATGCTGGGGATTCCCTCCCGCTCCAGTGCGTCAGCGTCGGGGATCCGGTCCTGCCACCTCAGCCTCCGTATCCGTCGACGGCAGCTGAGGTGGGAGTGGTTGAGTCGCCGCGCCCGCTTCTTATACACCATCCAGGTATCCGCTCCGTTTACCAGCGTCGACAGGATGACTACCCAGTACATCTTCATCTTCGCGTTGAGATGGAGACCGTGTCGGCTCCAGGCGTTGTTCTGCAGACGGCCGAAGGCTCGGCTGGCTTTGGAAATGCAGCGGTCATCCTCGCCGGGGATTTTGGTACTGCGGGAGAGGGTACGGCCCAGATACGTAAAGTTGTCCACCACTTGTATTTGGGTTCCGTTTATGCTGATTTGCGGCACACAGTGGGCTGTATTGGGTGGCGGTTGGTGCATGACAGCCGTCTTCTCCATGTTATAATAATAATAAAAATAATAAAAAAAATAATGGTAATTTTATTTTATGCCGGTTTACAGGCATTGTCAAGGAAGCGTTAAACACAAATCCGGCCAGCAGTGAAAAAAACTCCTGAGGTAAAGGAATAAAAATATAGTTGATGGTGGTTTCATGGTTTGGAGGATTCAGGAGAAAAAAAAACTGCTGGCGACAAACTTTCGACCGTCAAGAAGTGAGGGGTTGCATGGTATCGGATATTATCAGTCGCCAATTCCTTTCATGAAGTTAGGGTTACTGCAACCAGAAGCGCCGAAGAACAGCTGTCGCTGCTGGCTAAAGAAATTGTCCCTGGAGGGACTGGCCATAGTGGGCAGAGACCACAAACGCCAAAGTTACGGTAGAGTCGATCAGTGGATTCAGCACCTAAAATGTGTGGGAGCTTTTCACAAGCTATCAGGCCGAAATTCTCGCAAGGGGCGGCGAAGAGATCCATGTTCCTTTGCATGTCTCCTTTAGTAGTCGCATTGAGGGCGCAGACATAAACAAAGAGAAGTTCGTGGACGGTGGCCTTGGATACACGCGGCTGGAAGTGCATCCGTCGCTGGTTGAAGAGTTGGCCGTCCGTCACCTAGGTGATGCGGATCCCGGGCGTTGTCACGGTAGTCGTCCAATAACATGGCAGGGAACATGAAGCCGAAGAGGGTAGGCACAATGACACAACTCTACTTCACTCCGTTGGTTACTTCTAGTGCCTCTGAGACAGCTCCGCTGCCCGTGATGCTCTCCATTATGCCATCGTGGAGCTGACGCACCATCTGAGTGAATCATTCGGGGCGGTCGAAGTTCTGCATGATTTTCCGAATTCCTTTGCGATTCACCTTGTCGAAGGCTTTTTCCAGGTCCACGAATGTAGAGCAGAGGTGAATTTGCATCTCCTGACACGTCTCCTGTACGTGGTTCCACGATGACGGCGGAAGTCGCACTGGCTTTCTGGAAGAAGACCTTGTTCCAGGTGATCATTCAGGCGGTCGATAAGGATGCGAGCGAAGATTTTCCTGGCGACGTTCAGCAAGGAGATCCCTCGGTGGTTGTCGCAGAGCTGGCGGTTTCCTCTCCACTTGTATAGATGCACGATTGTGGCGTCTTTGAAATCCTGCGGGATTTCTCCTTGACGCCACATCTCCTAGAAGAGGGTTGTCAGATGATCTATGAGTTGGGGGCCACCGTTCTTGTAGATCTCAACAGGGATCGCGTCTGATCCGGGCGCTTTCCCGCTGGAGAGTTGCTGCACAGTCCTGATGATTTCGCGGAGAGAGGGAGGTATGTCGAGGCCCACGTCGGTCTCCATTGAGGCAGACGGGCGACAGCGGAATCATAGATGGTGAAAAAGCGGTTTAAGACGTCTCTGAAGCGTTCGGCGCATCGTTGTAGAATCTGCGCCTTCCCAGTGAGTGGGTTACTGTCATCTACGCTGAGGAGAGGCGCAGTCCCTTTGGTTGACTGACGTAGACGGCTTTCATGGAGGATAAAAAATCTTCCATTCGATGCGGTCCGCGTACCATTGAATCTCCTGGGCATTGCGAGCCGCCCAGGCGTCCTGAATCTCGCGCTGTCGCTGTTGCACAGGGGGGCGGCTACGGTAGAATGCTGCTTTGTTGTCGTCGGTTGGGCGGTCGACGTAGGGCTTGTTCAGACGGTTCTTCTCAGCGAGCAGGTTACTGACGGCGGAGTCGTCATCAAACCAGTCCTCGTACTGGCGATGTACGCGATCGAGGACGGCTTGAACTGTCGCCTGGAATGCATCCCGCAGTAGACACCATCGTTTCTCAACGGGGACGTTCTCGTCAGAGGCAGCAGCGGCTAGAAGGTTGTCTAACCATTGAGCTTGCTCGTTGCTGAAATTGAGATTGTGAGCAGGTAAGGACAACAAAGCAGTATTTAGCTTACCTGGGGGTCGCTTACCTTGGGGTCTTCGACGAGGCTGTAGGTAAATCCACACCTTCGAGAAGACAAGACGATGATCGGTCCAACCATCAACATCCGGATCGCCTTTGTTACCAGAATGCCCCTCTGGTCTCGCCTCCGGGCGAGGAAATCTTCCAGTAGGTGCCACCGACACGACCGAGGGTGCATCGGGAGGCGGAGGTAGGTGCTCGTCAGGAGGAGCCGTTGTTTTGCGCAGGTGCGCAGGAGGAGCGGGCCATTGTGATTGGAGCCTTTGAAACCATGAGGTCCCAGCCCTCCTCCCCAGGCATCATGATCCGTGCTAACGCGGACGTTGAATTCACCAGGAAAAATTAACTTATCCGCCTTCGGCACAGTCGCCAGGAGTGCATGTAGGTCCTCGTAGAATTTGGTCTGGTCATGTGGTGGGCGTAGACGCTGATAATGGTGGCGAGACCCCCAAGGGTCTTTTAATAAAATCATCCATTTATTCATTTATCTAAATTTGCTTCCCTGAAGGAGCATCTGGGAGCTCATTAGGCGATCGTTAATGCTCTGCGGCAGACATGGCAGGCTTTCCATAATGTCGTTTCGGATGGCAAAGGCGACGCCTGCGTCCCGTCGCTCTGACTTGGGGCGTCCGCTCCAGAAGAGGGCATAGCCGGCACCCACCTCCTCCAGTTGGCCTTGTTCGGAGAACCGGGTCTTGCTGAGTGCAGCGACGTCCACCTTGCAGAACGCCAGTTCAAGAGACACTAGCGCCGTCCTCCTTTCCGGTCGGTTTTCCTCGGGTGTCAAGAAGGGAATGAACATTCCAGACTGCCAGAGTGGGCGGACTCACCCTACTAGTCTGGCGAGTGGGGCGAGGAGGGAAAAGGGGGAGGAGGGAGAGAGGGAGTGTATTTGTTATTTCGACTTTGGTTGTTTCGATCGCGAGTTTAACGTCTGCGACGACGGTCAGCCTGCCGAAGGCGTGGTCCCCAGCATTTCATTAGGGCACCTTTTCTTGCCATTTCTCCCATCGCAAGGGCGAGCAGTGCTATCCCTAAATAGGGCTGCTCATTTGTGTCGGGCGGCTGTCAAACTGCACTGTGGGCCACGGCTTCTGTTTAATGGGATAACAACCGAATTAGCCTGGCACAGCTTACGACATCGTCGTAATCTTGTGGCCTCCTGCGGTGTAGCAGACGGGGCTGCGTCTGGACGATGTCGATGCGAAGATCCATCCGGCCAGCGAATTCGAAATTACCGTGCGCGGAGATGCACATGCGGATACCCTACCTGGTTTAGCCCGTCGGTCTAGGCGGTTACCGGGGTGTGGCCGCAAGGCCGAGCCTAGCTTCGGGGAACCACAGGGGAGAGTTGGGTGCCAACAAGTGGATGCTAGGCGTTGCCTTCACCTGCAAGCAAGTGAACAACCTACTACATGAACGTTAACCTACCACTGGAAGCTCCTACATATATACATACATGCATACAACTTCAACTACCTTAGAGCGGCCACCACACGAGGATGGACGTTCGCCTGCCAAAACAAGTCTTCTATAGAGATGTCGCCACGGGCGCTCGCCGACAAGGAGGTCAAACCCGCAAATTGAAGGACGACTTTAAGCGACCATAAATCAACCCAAGTACTTGGGAAGGCCTCTCACAGAACCGACCGGCCTGGACAAGAGCAGTGAAGACTGGAGCAGTCATCTATTAAGCCAACCAGATCGCCATTGCCAAAGCTAAGGCGGGGGCTCGCTAGCCTCTGACACCCCTGACCTGCAACACCACCCTCAAACACCTCCTAACATGTCCGCGCTGCCAACGAACACTCCATGCGCAAATCGGTCTCGCAGGGATCTCCGGGTCCAGTTCACCTGCCTGACAACCATAACCGCTTCCCCTCCTGTTTCGCATGCTCCAACTCTCACCGTGGCCACTACGAAAACCCCTCTCACCACCGATGCCCAGCATGCCCGTGTCCTGCCGTGGTGGGTCACTGCCCTGTCCATCATCCGTGCCGCAGTTTCCGCGGCGACGTCAGCGACTGTCACAGTTTCAACTCCTACATCCGAACAAAACGTCTGGGTGCGGGGTTTCACTGTGCCAGCCATCTTCGTTCTCTCCCGTCTCCGGTCTTCTTGACTCTGTCTCAACACCGGAGAAATAAACAAATAATTTTATTTAAGAGCCTTGGGGTGTCCAATAATAGCAAGCAAAAATAAGTTTTTACTTTAGTTAATTGTTAGTTAGAAGTCCAACGTCTCCAACCCCTTAGACACAAACTTCGGGGTTGGGTATGACTGGTTGACAACGGCTAGTAATCCAGAAATGGCCGTTCCAGTCTCCCTTGTCTTTGTCGGTAATACCATTCTGCCTGATATCATGCGCCGCTGTGCGGCTGCTGGTTGGGCTCGAGAGAGAGTCCATAAGGCAAAACGGGACGAGTGAGTTCCGTAGAAACGATTGGTGAGCGCTCCTTTATCGTTATAAATTTTTATGTAAATTTTAGAACACGTAGGCAGATTCTGTACATCATCAAATTCATCGTTGTAGAATAAACAGTCACAGATAAAACGGTCTGCGAGCAAGCAAAAAAAACTCCTAATGGGAAAGAAAAAATGGGTATGAATTGGTTAACTTTTGAGGACGAAAAAACCGGCGCTCATGAGAGGGAAAATATGAGGGTTGAACAGGACTGGCCTGCATATAGTATTTTATAAGGGATTCAAAGCGTGAATCGTCAAGGCAGAGCTTCCAGACCAGACGAGGATCCAGATTGAGGAGAAGAAGAAGAAGAAGAAGAAGAAGAAGAAGAAGAAAAAGAAGAAGGAAAATGAGAGGGTGTGTAGGTGCAGAGGCAGTCTACTAGCACTTAAACCTGAATCATGCGCAAGTCATCGCCTCTGCTCTCAACCTGCTGTGAAGTATACGGTGTACATGGTCGAAATCGACAGTATAACTGTCGATAAACGTGTACGTAGCGGAAGTATAAGGCAGCACGCCGTTGTTATGTAAGCCAGACGCAAACTGATTCAATCTTGATTTTATGTACGTCTTTTTACCGGTACCAAACTCTCATATATGGCTTCCCGAGGATAGGCTCTGTGTAGCGGATCCACTCCGGTAACCGCCTCGACTGGCGGGCTAAACCAGATGAGGGTATCCGGTATTATATGTGTCCTATACGCGGCACTCCTGCTACCCTTCCACCTCATCTTCCTCCGCCTCGTGGGTGTGATTACCATCATTTTCATTTGATTTCACAGTAATAAGAGCCTTTTTATGCTTTCGTTATTCATTATCTCCAAATGCTATTCTTTGGTTCTGTCAATACAAACATCCCGTCATTTGATCGGTAGAAGAGTAAGCCAGCCAGTGCCTCATGTGCTGGTTGTTTCGTAGTTTGAGGTTTCGTGACAAGAGGAGATTGATCTGATTCTCACCTCGCAGAATGACTTTCAACGGTTGCGATTCCACATCCTCTAGAATTAATGTAAAAGTTATTCTTACTTACTATGATAGGACCCCACGGTCTTGAACAATTATTATTACTATTATCCGCAATTAATACCCCAAAGCGGAAGGTCCTATTGGTTACATCTAACTCAGGATATTTCTCTTTCAGTTCATAGACTATGAAAACACGGGAGATTCAGTTTACCCACTTTCCGAGCTTTAACAGAAGCCTCAAAGATACATTAGATAACCACATGACGTGATCTTTCTGGGAAAAATGATGTTAATATCTCACTCTTTCTAGTTTCTGAGACGTTGGAGGATTGATCTTAGGACAGCTGTTGCAGTCGTTTTGTGTTCTTGAACTTTAGGTCAGGTGTTTTTTTTTACCAGGGCGTGATATAATTTGTTCAAAAGGACAGTAAAACTGTGTGCACCTCTCCAAGAAAATGTCCACGGAACGGATTGCTGGGCTTCTGGATACCTTGTATTGAATGCATTAGCACATTCCCTCAAACCGCGGCTTTCTTAGTTAGTCCTCTCCCACGTCCGCACTTTAATGTGAGCGCCATTGCGATTATTCTCCACGTCGACGCAAGCGTGAGAAAATCTTACTAGTAACGATGCAGTTACTCCTGCATTAACTCTTCTAGTTAAACGCTTATGCAGTCGGATTAGTGCAAGATTGAACGAGTGGCTGTTGACAAAATGTGTCCTTGCTAAGGGGTCTGCGACTCGTTGGTCGAAGAAAAAAGAAAGCTTGAAATGGGGATTTTCGCATAACAAAAAAAGAAAGGGCAGAAGATCTGACAATGGCCTATCGTTAAAACCCCTAAAATCACGAGCCTTACGCCAGATCTAGGTTTTTACTCAGGTGCGGATGACTCCTCTTAGAAGATGTAACATAAAACCAAGGTGACTGAATACTCGGTCTTCTTAAGATGAGCAACCGGCAGCGTTAATTTGTGTACGTATAGTCGTTTAAAATTATGGAGGCGGTGGCGAGGGTGCATGTCCATCCTGTTGTCCTTTTGTCTGTCATTGATTCCTACGAACGAAGAAACGAGGATTCGAAAAATGTTGTGGGAACTCTGTTAGGTATTTGCTATTTATTTGACATTATTTTTAGGCACGTACGAAAAGGGAATCATCGAGGTCACCCATTGTTTCGCAGTTCCCCACAAGGAATCGAATACAGAGGTTTCTATGGACTTCGAGTTTGGACGTGCTATGTTAAAACTTGAAAGAAAGGTACTGAAACAAGCCCCTTATCCCGTGCTAGATGAACCTTAACCTCAGGCCCGTAGGATGGTATGCCACTGGGACCGAAGTCACGGAGTCATCTATGTTGATTCATCAGGACTATTACATGAAGTATGTAAAGAATCCAATATTTCTTCTTGTCGACCCAAACCTGAACGTCGGCGAAAAAATGAGTATAAAGGCTTATCAGAGTCGGTCTATTGGAGTTCCTGGAGGGACGACTGGTACCATGTTTCTGCCCTTGGAAGTTAATTTGGAATTCTACGACGCTGAGCGGTGCGCAGTTGACATGATGGTCTCAGCAAGGAATGTAGGCGCGAACGAACTTTCGGAGGTAATTGTTGGCCTTAGCCTGATTAATTTTTATTCGCCTTTTACCGACACGCAATAAGTGAACAGCCTGCAAGATTTACTATGAACGCATGAAAATGTTGTTTGATATGTCAAGGCAGTAGACGCTCTTTGTATGTCTGTCAAACAAACCCCATTTCTCATCTGGAATTTTATCCGTGGGCAATAGTCTTGGTCGACAGGGACATCAACGACGCTCAGTTCATCCTTCAAACATCGAAGGGCTTGAGTGCTGGCTTGTCGGGATAGTTTTTACCTTGTTACTGGATGGTGTCTGACAGTACCAGCGCCAGGGAGAGAGCTAGTGACAAAACTACAGCCTTCGTCCAGATGGGAAGTCAAAGCCGTCGGTATACGGTCCTGTTGTTTATCGGTCAGAAGCTTGTGTACGTGGCGAAAGCATGTTCATGGAGGTTTTGCAGTGAAAAGTAAACAGCTCTGAGCGGAAGGCTTCCTTGGCGCCGTTCACTGACAAATGCAAATAATTTCTCAGATGTGAATTGCGGTATCTTACGCGCGTGCCTTCAATACGGTGGACTGATAGGGGCGCAAGAAGCGATTGGACAGCCACCGCCTACGAGAAGGAGCCACTGTCGCAGTTCTTGACAGATTTTTCTCACAATCCTGAATTTTTAAACACTTGCTGCGGAACGCAGCGTACCTAAATATCAGTTGGAAGGGAAGAAGTAAGTAAAATGAAGACACGTTTTGAAATATTAATAGTCCTACAGTGTGTACCCCAGCGGTGCATTTCATTTGCACCTAGCTTAAGTTCGTAAGTTGTTAATAACATTTTTATTTCGTCTTTCAAGTTTTAAGTTATTGATCCTTATTTGCATCCTTGATGTTGACAACAAATAAAGAAGCCTGCTGTCTAAATTTGCACTCTGGTCCGATCGTCGGGAACCAGTAAGCTTAGATATATAAACATGAAAACATCGGCCTCTCTCTTCCCTCACTGCGTACTAGGAGTTGGTCTTGGCCCAGAATCAGATTATACCTACCATGGTCAATAACGTGGCACTAAGTCACCGCCTCGCGTGAACACGTTTCTGACCTCGTTCAGGCTCGACACAGCAGCGCCATCCGCAATTTTTTTGCTACATCAGTTATTTATAAATCATCCCCGGTCTTTTGTTCACGGTATGGGCAATTATACTTAATTGTAGTTGTCCGAATGACGTGTGTGTAAGTTAACAGGTTCGCGCAATGAACAATTTATTTTATTATCAGTTATTTAGCAAAACGGGTGCTCAATCAGTTAACTGGTTGTTCTGTGTGAATTACGGCTACAATTCCTCTTAGAAGAACTAATAAAAGAGTCTCTTCGGTTGATCACAACAAAGATGCCTCCATTTTATGCCACCCCGTTATCTAAATTTTCACTTTAATCAATTCCTCTTGTCATTGTACCTTGCTAGTCCGATTTTTCCATAGATAGTGTTGGCATGACTCCGCATTTCCAACGGCCAATTCGAAAGGATTTTGAATGTTATCAAAGCTACTCTGTATTCCAAACATGACACTACCGACATTTTCGGCGAGGTGCTTCGCGTCTCCCATCAGAAGCTAGCAGGACCGAAGGAATATTTTTGACCGAAAGTGTATGCTCTCTTGTCTTTTTCTTCGCCCATTTCGAGCCGAGAACGCAAAAACCACCAGAAGCATTCTGAAAAATACCGATTATGCTTGGGCTTAAAACATCCTCAGCTAGAGTTGTAGTTCATCTGCTATCCAGATGGTCGGGCAAATGTTGGACGGCCTTCTTCCGCGTGGCAAGAAGTTCGATCTGTCTTTACCTAAACATCTCGCGCGTTAGGCAAACACTTTTTGGCGCACGTTTTAGCCATGAAAACATTCCTACTGATGTTTTCAGGTAGCTGCATTTTATTTTCAGACGACGGACGATCTATCCTATCTCTACAAACTAACTGGCAGGCTACTGGAGATGTTGGACAAAATTACTGCTACTGTAGAGGATGTAATTGCGGGTAGACGACCAGCTGACAACGAAACTGGTCTTGCCATCGCTCGCCTCCTTTTTGCAACGCCCAAATTGGACTCGGACAATGTGGAGGAGTTGATTAGTTCCAGTTTCAAGGACCTTCTCATGGTTACCTACCTTACTGACCTTATACGTTCGCATATAAAGCTGCTAAATCTTGCCCATTGATTGGCGTGCGTGCGTGTTTTTGCGTTAGATTGACTGACTTTCTTCTTGTCTCCACTTCGTTTTTCGACGAAAAAAGTGCACAGGAATCGGCTAAGCCTTGGCCTTGATCCGAAATCATGGCCTTTTTAGTTCTTCGCAGTAATGTGCTTTCCGTTTTGTTTGGTGATCTCGGTCCAGAACTCTTAGACTTGCATGGCGACTAGCACCCATTAGTTGTGAGATCGTGCTTACCAACCAAGGGAGATTGACTTTCTATTTTTGGCTTATTTGCGCCGCCAGTCAGCTACTCACACTCTCAACTGAACTTTGAATTCAAGCTCAGGTACACAATGCCTGCGGTTGGGATACAGCTGGTCGACGATGACAAGTAAACCAGAAGTGGTCCTCTAAGTTTTCTTCATTGGTAATACTTCTCGATCCTGGATTGTAATTAAAGAAATTATTAAATTGCTTAAAACTTAAGAGGATTTCCGAGCTTTCGTCAGGAGTAGGATATAAGGACGAATAACAGGTCTCATACTTAATACTACTCCTGCCAGTTTTTCAGATCGACAGGCAAAAAAGGTATATAGCTGCGAATGGACATATACGGAGGACTTTGTGCTGCTCTACTTCCGACTGGAGGTATGCACGAATTTGTACTGTAGACATTTGTATGTAAATGAGTATTCCATGTCGTTACACGAACCTGCCGTCATAAGTAGCCCGGTTATCGTGAATAGAATGACAGCGGCAAATAAACTATACTTAATCTGTCAGAAAGCACCATTTACTCGTGCTACAGACGAACCAAGCAGAGTTTAGTTTGCCTAGAGGGGCAGGAATATGGTATCAGCTCTTGTCGTGGTCCTGGCAAGAGTTAGAATTAAGGAAAAGTCTCGCTGGGGGAGGCCAAATAACGGCTCATTATTAGTGAGGTCGTTTCCATTATTGATAGCTCACAGATAGAGCCATCGATCGATTCTACTGCAGGGCCAACAGAGCACTTTCGGTCATAAGTCAATCATATCTACTCTTTTAGTCCTGAGGCTGGGCCGGTATACCACTATCGGCAGTCAACTCTATTTGTCCCTGAAGAGTTAATGAGCAGTTGATCCCCTATTTATCAATGGTACTTAAAAAAGGCTCTTTAAGGAAATTAGAAAAGATGTGAATACAACTAGCTTGCTGAGGATATGTCTACGAGTGTTCGCTGCAAAGTATCCGTCCGAGTACGAACATAAATTTTCCTCTTAAGAAGACTGGCGCCAGGTAGCCGGGCTTCATTAGTAGGTCGAATTAAGGAACAGCATGAGAAGAGTGTTCGACGACAGGTGGCCTGGTGTTTTTATTACTCTGCTGCCGTGAAATGCACTGCAACAGTCTTTCTACCAATCAGCTAAATTCAAGGGCCCCGGGGTGTGTGAGTTTCCAATGGGCTTAACGCAACTATCCTACAAGGTAATTGTCGTGTACCTGACTAGTCTTTTACTGCGGCCACGATTGACATTAAGAGAAATCGCATCCTGGGTCTGCAGCTGAAGCCCCTTTTATACGATAATAAACCATCAACGATGGGTCACTAAGACGAGCCTGTCTGCGTCTGTCACATTGCCTGGTGTGCTTCCTCGTTGCAGTTCGTCCGCTTAGGAAGTTCGTGAAGGACAATCCCACTCGTGGACTTAGGCAACAACAAGTAAAACGCTCCACTGTATCAGTTCAAGAAATCCCAGGGTGACAAGGTGTCGTTCAAAATAGGTGCAAGCTGTCCAGCTCAGATTGTCAGCTATTCCTCTGGGCTGTCCTTTCGCACGCCGACGTAAACCAGGACCAGCCAGGTGGGGTTAAGTATTTTGGCAAAATGTCTCGTCACTATCGAGTCTTCTTTACCCTTTTGATTTTACTCATTAGAAGATTCTGGTAGCCTTCGTCTTCGTTTAGCAGTGTTCTTCGGTTTGATATATTTATGCCGTTCTTCAAAGCATTGCCGTCGCCGCGGCTGTTCACAATTCGCTGGGTTTATCCAGTGAAAATTTGCATGGTTGGGTATGTATATATAGGCTAGTGCGACTGCAGCCAAGGCAAGCTCTGAGGCTGAGACCGCAATCTGAGAGGACTAGGTGGCCAACGGTAGTCTGTGTCCTGACCTCAGGCTCATGACGGCTTACAGCAAAGGGAAATTTCTTATGCTATGTATCAACACCCAACCATAGATAAGTCAATCTATCCGCCTGAAGTTAGGCGAGCCTCGTGATTTGTTCAACACGACGTGTGAACAAACGGGCCGGGAGCATATTTTTTATCTGAAGGTGGAGTGAGCAGGTCTTTTAACTGAACAAAGTTGGGCGGGATTATGCGCTGCCTCCGTCCCAAAATAGACGCACCTTTAGTTCTTCCTAACAATTTTTCCTTAACTGATGCCTCTGATGGTGGATTAGTGTGAACCCGAAACATCCGGCGAATAAAACTTGCCTCAACGGTCGCGTCTCTCCAGTGTTCTAATTGTCAAGCTTGACTGACAGTCGGTTGATGTAAGCGTCGGTCAAAGTAAGAGTACTGGTTAGGAAAGTATTCCCCGACCTTGCTTTGCACCTTTAGTTATTTCGTCCCGAAAAGCAAATTCTGGTCGATCCGGAAGTAGGCCATGTTCATTTGACGAAGGACAATCTGCATCATCATCCGTTCAGTTGAGTGACTTCGTGGAAATTTCGATGCTGGTCGCCTTGCTCGTATTCAGACCTACAATGCTAGTTTAACCATTGCGAGCGATCACATCCACCGCCTTCCCCACGAGCTGCGCACAAATTATGATGAGGTAGACTTGCGAAGCATCTACTATCTTCTTTCATCCATCTGGCTCCGATGGAAAAACAGTGTGAAGACGATCGGAGGCGGGCTCGGGTACAGAAATTGTCGAGGTTAGGCCGCCCGTCTGCGCGTGCCACGCACGAACTGGTCCCCGAACAATGTTCCTCAAAAGAAAGTAGCTGGGATTTCATGTTTATGGGGGTGCCATAGGGGCCACTAAATCTGACTCTCAGGTCCCCAGAGGATCGAGTTACCCAGTCAGTTAACAGCCTTTCAAACCACAACTTTTGGCGCTTCGTGACAGATTAGAGCACGCTATATTTACTAGCGAGAAACGCGCTGGTGAGCCATGGGGATGCATTTCCTATTGTTGACCTCCCATGCAAACAATAATCATCTTTGCAGCTTGTCAATCACTAGTTTGGGGTATATTAGTATAAATAGTCTTACCATTGACTAACTGAGTAAGCCTTCTGTGATATCAGCTGAGCATCTGCTTGTATGACGGGCCAACTTCCTTAGAACGGAAACACAACTTGGACAGCTGAACCTGACATACTCTGCACGTTTTACCACACCAGTTGCTTCAATGGCGGGTTGGAAAATAGGGAAGATCGAACTGCCAGAAAATGTCTCATGGGAACTTGTATCGCTCATCATTTGATGATGGAGCATTTGACCTGAGATCAAGAGCTGGTCAGTCCGAATTCATCCGGTCCGGATAACATAGGGGGCCAGTGGAATATCGTCTTAAAACAGAGGTGGGCTGCGGCAATATGGGGGTAGGGGTGGGGGGTAATAGCAGTCGATGCCAGTGGCGGGGATGAGAACGGAAGGGCACAGAGAGTTGCAGCGTTAGTCGGCCTGCGACCATGGTAGGTGCGGAGTCCGGACCTGGTTCTTCTGTGCGCAGAAGACCGATTTTCGCAACCTGATGGCGACTGATTCCGCTTTTGCTAGCAGGCGTTGGCCCAGTAGCTTAAGGTAGCTCGATAGGACCTTATAAATCACACGAAGTGCTTCGCTGGGGTCCACACGATATCCGAAATCAACAACATGCCCGCGGACGGCACTATTTATGCTCCTAGTTAGGCTTTTTCCCAGCCACACCGGTAGGTGTTCTCGTATTCTATTGGATAGGCGCCGACTTGTGCGACCAATATGACCTGCTCCACGGGAGTAGGTAAAAGATCAGATGCACATTTATGTGGTCTGAGTTAGCAACCTATCCTTACCTTCTCCGCGTAGCGACCGTCACGCTTAAGCTTATTGCTCTGGTCGCTTAGTTGCAATTTCCCTAACTTGCCCATGAAGAAATCGGCTAGGAGAGGTTCGAGAGGCGAGCCCATAATAACCCCGTCTGTCTATAGGGTTGGTTGTCAAAAAGGAACTGCACACTTAATGGGCATCCTAGTAATAGTTACTTGAGTGTGTTCGTCAGAATTCCTATTTCCCCGTTCAGTTCGAGAACCTCTGGAACTAACCCTTCTATCTACTGCCCGCTTCCACAGACAGTATCCAACATTTGGAATCGGCACTAGTGAATTACAGTTGTCACTATCTGAAGAAGGGGCCAGAAACTCGGGACTTACCGAGAAAATCACATGTGGATGGGAGTGTCATAAAGGCTACTTTAAGAGGGTGCATTGCAACCTGATTCTCCGTCCTGAGAGGGCGACCGTCAGTTGGCAGCCTTTGAAATTACGACTTTTAGCGCACCGTGATAGACTCATACGCGTCGGTTAGCTTGCAGTGAAAAATATGCACCAATAGAGTCGATCTCATTCCTCCCTCTCTCCAGTTCACAAGTCGATTCTCCAAGCTGGGCAATCAGCTGATTCGGGGTTTCGGTGCAGTGGCTGACAGAGTCTGAAAGCCCGACTGCGCATGCTGTACACACGACTTGGCCCCCACACAACACACTAGGATTTCACAAAAAGGATGTAGACTGTTCATGTGTTACCTTATTAGGGGAGCCACGTGGGGATGGGACCAAAGGGCACGATTCATGCTTGCGTGAGAGTTGTTCATTCCGTGCTTCTTGTGGGTCCTGAGGGACTGGTTCTTGTGTAGTGCATGTGCTGGTGAGTAGACATGTGATGATGGGATTTGACCGATGTTGTTTGGCCGCAGGTTTTCATGCGCATGCGACCGAGTAGGCCCGTGTGGTGGCTGAATATGCGTGGGCAGTCGCGGTGGTGGTGGTGGTGGTGACGGGTGTATGTTGGTGTTCCAGGCACTGGTTCGCCAGTCTCTGCCCTCTGGATAAGCAGATAACCAGGTAGGCTGGTGCATGATATGCACATACGGTGGCAATGTGGGCAGAGTAGGTCGGGAGCTGCCGAGTCAGTTGTGGTGGTGATGCTGCTAGTGGTGATTAAGCTGGTGGAGGTGGAGTTGATGCTGTGGATGGGAAAGTTGTCGGGTCCGCAATGTGTACGCTGGACGGGATTCTTCACTGGCGTGTCTCAGTCAGAGTAGTGCAGGTATGTAGGCCATCCAACTGCGGACCGGATATGCAAAATATTGTAGCTCCCAGCTATCACAATGGCCACATCATACAACAATTATTATCCACAAAAATCGCAACTGGAAATCTAAAAAACTTCAGACATTCTGGGGAAAATGCCCCCTTATTTCCAGCAATAAACCGCTCTTGCACCCTGTTTTACCTTTTTACATGGGATGAGGAACCTAGTTTCAATTTAGTGAAGGCTATTTGGAGGAATATTTCTCGTTTAGACTAACGCCTCTATTGGAGCAACATCCATATGTATTCAGACATGGTCTACGTACGGTAAGTACCACCAAAATCACCATTTTGATCATAAAAAATACAGAAACATTTCTTTTGAGAAACAGGATGTAATTCATGTTCATTCAGCTTCGATACCTGTCTTGCCGTCGCTATCAACAAAAATCGACCGCAGTCTTCATAGTTTCCGTTCCTACAAGGCACTTAGTCAAGTTAATTCACTACGAAATTCAATAAAGAACCATTTACATCTCCCAGTGATGACAGTTCGACCATCGGTTTCGATGATGTCCACCGTGTGCCCCATAGTTGCAGCAGCAATGGGAGCAGGAACGGTGACTTGCGCAGGGATTTATAGTGCCGGTAGACTTGCGTAGCATCTAACTACACTCTCTCCTCCTCCCTCGCCCGAGCCGGTGTCAAGACAGAGTCAAGAAGACCGGAGACGAGAGAGGCCGCAGGTGGACTCGGACGGATCCTCACCTTGGCGTTCCACCACACCCCCTGGTCCACACAACAATAACCAGGATTTCAACCAACACAACAGAGATTTGGAGGCTGGCACGGCCGAAGCCGCACCTAGGCGTGCCGCCAACGCCTGGCTCGGATCCAACACTGTAGCGGGAGGGCCATAAAGGCCACATTAAAAAGGAGCCATTGCAGCCTGACTCTCAGACCGCCTCCCGTTAAGGAGGAGGTCCAAGGTACCCCGTCAGTTGGCAACCTTCCAAGCCACGGCTTTTAGCGCACCGTGATAGCTTCAAGCGCGTCAGATTGATTATAGTGAGGAAAAAGTGCGCTGAGTCGTCGACCTCACTCTCTTTTCCCATTCCCACACCCCAGCCGCCGTCCGAGCCGGTCGGCAAACTGGAGTGGTGGATGGGCGCGGTGACTGACCGTGACTGCGCGCGCCACAGCACGACCTGGCCCCCCATACACACAACACCAGCATTTCACACAACGGGGGTTGAACGGTGTGTCACTCACTTGCGTGAGAGTGCCGTGGAAGGTGCTGTTTCAGCCCGTTCCCAGCCCACCAGTCCGCCACTCCACACAACACACACACAACGCGACGAACTGCGTGAACCGAGAGCGGGCGTCAATCAGCAACCTTCCTATCCACGACGCTTGACGTGTCGGGATAGTCTCGGACTCAAGTCACCCGTGCAGCCGAAGCCGCATGGGGACCGAGTCGAGATGTGGACTTCCCACTTGCGTGGGAGGTGGCAGTTGGGTGCATGAGGTGTGAGAGTGTTGTTGTGTGGTGGGGTGATGGTGGTGGTGGGAGGTAGGGAGTGAGTGAATGTGTGGTGTGGCCGGCGGTTGTCTACCGCAGGTCGTCGTGGATGCGCATGTGGCCGAATAGGCCCATGCGATGCCTGAAAGTGCGAGGGCAGTGTGGGTAGTTGAGACGAGCTTGGTGGGTATAGGTTGGTGCTCCAGGCACTGGTTCGCCAGTCTCTGAGTGATGGATTCGCAAGTGACCGACCAGGCCAATGCGTGAGGTGAAGGTACGGTCGCAGTGAGGACAGGTGTAGTCCTGATCCTCATCCCTGGAGTCGGGGGAGGTGGTGGTAGTGTCGGTTGCTGTGCGCGGGACAGTCGCCTGAGCGGCCGCCGTTGGAGCAGTGGGCGAGGAGGAGGAGGATGATGGAAGTGGTGGGTCAGAAGAATTGTCAGGGTTAGTTGGCAGCGGAGAGGCGGAGGAGGAGGAGGAAGAGGCAGGCGGGGGGACGATGGTTGGTGTCGTTCGAGAGGCGCAGTTAATCCGAAGATGTCCAACAAGTCCGATTCGAGCCCGGAATGTCCGTTGACATCGAGGACACGTTGGAAGCGGTTGTGCGGCGGCGTTGCTTACTGGGCGAAGTTATGATTTGCGGGCTTTACGTTTCGCTTTGGCGGCAGCGATGCGGTTGGCTTCGTCGATCGCAGCGCCAGACTTCACTCTCCTCCTCCAGGTCGGTCGATCGAGTGCGAGCTCCTCCCAGTTGGTGGGGTTGATTTGCAGGCATTTCAGGGAGGACTTCAGGGTATCCTTGTAACGGCGAATCTGGCCACCACGACGGCGAGAACCCGTCGCGACGTCTCCGTAGAAGAGTCGTTTGGGTAGTCGCTCGTCGTCCATGCGCACCAGGTGGCCGCTCCAGCTCCCAGTGATACACGATGTATGTGGCACATATTTTATTGAATTTTTACTAATAAACCATGTTCGTGGACACGCGGAAATGCTTCAGGCTAGATTTGGGGTATGTAAATTAAAAAAGGTAAACAATACTGGAAGGCATCACTCTTCAGCTTTTCTTTTTGAGCTTTAATTATTTCGGATTTCGTTTGGATATCTAATCGCAGTTTGCTTCATTTGTTATGCAAACCCACTGGCAATATTAATTCTGATAGTCTAAACTGCCTCTTAGGTGAATTCTTTAGCCGTTTGGTGAATGATCCAGACCGGGTGAACTGTAGTAATTTTACGAATGGAGATTTTAATACGGAATTCCGGCTTTTTGGTAAATAGGCCGAGGTCTGGGTGTTAAGTTTTAAAATATTAAGGCCGCTGCCATAGAAAACGACAGTGCCGGAAGTCACCAAAACCAATGTAGGAGCAATTTGCACACCTCTGGAATCGTCGCAGATAATTGGTAACACCAAAGTACAAATAGATCACCCCTGTGAAGAACGGTGATAGAATTAAGGACGTTTGAGTGAATTTATTAATTGAGGACCTTGAGCGTTGTTTCTGTAAAACATATGATGACAGACAGGGCGGAAAAACACCAGGCAATGTTCAACGCGCAGTAGACAGCAACTTGTAATGCGGTAGGTGAACAATCAGCTGGACGGGAAAATAACTGATTCGTCGATTCTATGGGATAGAAAATGAGCGCATAAAGTCACTTTTGTAGCCGTCAAACACGTTTTACCTTCGCGCCCATACATTTAATTAAGCGAGAACGTTTTATACATACTTTTTATCTGTTATCTAAAAAATTATGACGACAAATGCGCCGTCTTCCCTTCGCCTACTGTTACATCCTTTGAAAATCGATGCAAGTAGGGTGTGTGAAGGCTGAAAGCTTTCGCGGCAGAGAGAGAGAGAGAGAGAGAGAGAGGGAGAGAGAGAGAGAGAGAGAGAGGAGAAATGTGCTTTATTTTGAAGGCATTATTCCAAAATTGTCAGCAAAAAAGTCCTTTATTCCCCATGACCAGAATAAACTAACAGGTGATGAGGAAGTGAATGAGTTTAAACAAAATATACAATCATCACGGAGGGAGTTTGAGTCTCAGTTTCTGAACCTCGGTCTCCTCACACATAAGGTATCGTGCCAGGAATGGTAATACGGAGCGTCTATATGCTGGAGGCCACGGCGCATGAGGCGTAAGTACTTTGCAGCAATTAATTCAGGACCAGGGAAATCGATACTATCCAGAATTCGATCAGCAAATTGCCTGACCGCTGTGAAATATCTTTGCATCAAGGTATCAACCAAGAAGACAGAAGAAATGCCGGACGCAGAAAAGAGCATTCGAAGGATGCGTCAATGGGAAGTCGGAACATAGATCATGCACATTAAGCTATTCTCCGCTAAACGGGGACTCGCATTTAAATGATTGAGACCGAAGTCTGCATTCAAAAAGTGCAAGGATAGAAGGTGACTCTTGAGAAACTTTTCATAATCGTTTAAGATTATGCAAGAGGATGTCTGTAGCTTGCTTAATGGATCATAAAGCGAGCAACGTTGGATACCTTTCTGGTACATTTAAGTTTGACTGCTCACTTTTCAAACATCACGCTATATTTTTAGGTTCTGGATGGTAGGTTCTATGTCAACACTTCTTCCAAGCACAGCACGAACTGCAGTGCCGTAGGTAGTAACACATTAGTTACGAATATAAGCCAATTTATCATGTCACAAAGTTTGTCTAAATTCCATATCTCATCAGGAGCCCACATATTACCTTTTAAACCAACCTAGGTGACTGTACTTGGAATATGCCAGAGTTCATTAACTCTTACTCCTTATGTTTGAAGTGGTGTTATGTGTGCCGCTGTCTTCTAAATGTGCTTTAAAAACAGGTAATCTACAGAATACTAGCCCTGCCAGCACATGGCCCCTTCATAGGCGGGGCTGGGTGGGGCCAGAGCCCCCTCTGCATTGAAGCATTTTTAAGCGTATTTGCATCGAAAGATATGTTTCAAAAGCACCACTTAATGTACCTTCTTTGGAATTAAAAGGAGCTAATTTATCAAAATTGGCTTATAAATCATGGAGAAAGCATCCGTTTACGCCCACTGAATGTAGCTGCGGATGAGCACAATATATTGAGGTTTTGTTTAAGTCCCTCATTGCGTAAACTCTTATTTGTCCACCGGTTTACAATCTGTGTGTGTTATTAATTCGTATATTTGACAATCTGGACGATATTTTAAAGCGGTGCCAAAAGTGGGCGGGGATGTGGCCTCCCCTGCGCATTTTTTTTCGCAGCGCAGCCCCCTCCACAGCCCCGCCTAGCCCCCTCATGGCCCCCTCTAGCCCCGCCATTATTGAGGGGGCCAGGCGGGGCTGGTGCTGGCAGGGATGCAATGTGTATAGTGAAAAATCGAGCAAATCGTTGTTTTTTTATTCGGCAGTACTCATTAAAGAAACGGAGCATTCCATAAGTTTACGATGCTATTTCCTTAAAATCCTTACTTTAGTGTCCGCAAGGCAAAAGATAATTAGACAAAGTATGCCTTAGTGAAGGACTTTGAAAGTTTTTGGACAGAAGAGTTAAGGAACCTTAAGGGCGCTGAACACTTCAGAGAGTAGTCGTTTATTCACAGCTCTGGAAGGATTACCAGCCTATTCCTCGTCTTGGTGATAATGGCAATAAGCATTCGGCACGCATGACTGCACTTTCGCTAAAGTGAATACTCGATTTCGATGTTTGACCTGACTAAAGTGCGTATGAATGGTTGCATCGGAGGGGTATTGATTCAGTTATATTTTCTTAGAAAAGTACAAAATTGGGCAACTCATCGTAGTTATTTTGTGGAAATGGGCCTTCTTTTATTTGGGGTTTGAAGAAGAGAAATATTTCAATTGAAAAGAGTTCGTAAATATGAACATCTTGACGCTCTTGCATGATTATTCGCTTAGTACGATAACCGAAAGCTCACTGATGCTGCTGCTGCTGCTGTTGCTCACAACAACATAAGAAGTTTAAGCTCGTGACAGTATCTTGTGAGCACTGGCCGACATTATCGTATGAAAACACAACGATATATTTTACAGTAGATGGTATAACTCATGAAATGTCATAGTCGAAATTTGAGCGAAAAGTATACCATGCATCTGGTTTTGTTATTTGTGTTTATTAAAATGATTTGAGACGCGAAAAGCCATTTACTGAAGCGGGGTTTACTTCGATTCAGGTTTCTTAAAGTAAAACAGGCTAGACTTGGGCGAAATCTGACCTTTCTTGATATCCAGATAATTTCTTACACTATGACAATTTGCAGACCAAAACTCCACGTTTGTGTGCATTGTGCTGTAAACGAAGATTACTATAAACAGGAAAGGTACGAAATAAATCCCGTCTGGATCTATTAACGCTTTCGTCCACAGTCTGACTTTGTGGACAACAGCCGGCCTTCAGCCGATTTTTATCCCTGCCAACAGCCCGGATCTGAATGCTGTCGAAAATGTTTTCTCACTTATCAAAAGACATTAGCACAAGACGATTAAGAAACTTTCAAAGCAAGAAAGGCTTGATTTTGTGCTGATAATCACATTGAATGATCCATCATAGACAACCTGACCATCTCTATGTCTAAAAGACTTCCTGCTGTGATAAATGTAAATGGACAATCAACAAAGTAATTATCTTACGTGCTCATTATTTTGCATTATTTCCCCAATTTCGTGCGTTCCACTTCATTACGTTCCCTTAAAATTAGCCCTATTTAAACGACTTGTAACAAGGCCATTTTCTGAAATTTAAGTCTTCAGTGGAAGTCAGTTATTTTTATGTTAATAAGTATTAATTTATAAACTCATCTAGGTCTTCCTTCTCAGGAACAGTTGTCTTTCACTGATAAGATTTTGGGGAACTCAGGTTGGGCAGGTTGTGCTAACTCATGAAATTTTAGTATTCAGTACACCAACTGCACATTTAGAGCAGTGCTGGTAGAAATTTCGAGCAGAGGAGAGAAGGCCCTTCGGAAAAAAGTCGAATTGTGTTTGTGAATTTTAAGGTTGGTGACACCAACCCGTCGTCAGACGAGCTGAATTTGGGAGGAAGTAAAAGTATCACACTGAAGCGTTTAGGGGCCACAAAGATAACGCAAACAGAGCTCTGGAGCTCGAGAAATGCGGAACTAGAAGTGCAAAGGTTCTAGAGGTGGAGAGGGGCGGAAGGCCACGTCTCTCTGTGCTGGAGGAGGAGAAGGAGGGTCGGCAGTGGGTCAGGGAGACTGCACACGGTTGAACTATATGTCATTGGTTGAAAACGGGAATGGGAGGTCAGTAACTCATGCTCATAGACCCACGTAGTGAACGTCAGGTCATCACAGCAGCTAATACGGCCTGCACCGGAGTGCCAGTCTTAAAAAATTCTCTGTTTCGCTTTGTGTTGATCATGATGACGACCTCATTATCGCCCTGTTTGAATCGGAGGTCACGTTCGAGTGCCTAAGCAAAGACGAGAAACAAGTAGTAATGACGACGGAGGACCCGTTTATATTCGTTTATACGAGTGCCCACGCGTCCGCCCTTATGAACAATACACTCAGGAGCAACTAGCGCATGGAATGCGATAGCTTGCGTTCGTCTGTGGCCTTTTTGGGGTGGGGTCCTTTATTTGGACAGGCACTTCGAAGATTTCGTGCATGCAATGCGGAAGTCAAAATTCTCGCGGAACGATTGCTCAAATTAGGGTCGAAGCCATGTTGGCTCCATCTTTCACCTGAGAGTGGGTTTTACATAGCTGGTCGGACATCCCTTAGACTAAAACGACCTTTAAGGAAAGTCAGTTATTTCATATGGAGATCGACCTTGTTACGATAACGATAGGGTCGGTGGAAGGGAGTATGGACGCAGCTTTTTTAATGAGCAGCAAGATGGTTACTTCCATATTTTAAGACGA